CGTATGCACCTGATTCATGATATTTCTCGTGTTCTATAATTTGCATATTTGTATGACATGTACTTGTGTATGCCCTACTCTAGTGACTCTCAACAAATTTTGCAGAGATTTTCTGTGCATGTGCATAAATGTATTGGTGTATGTAACTGACATGTCTTTGTTTCACAGCATTATCTTTTGTTTGTAATATAAAAATATATTAAACAACAAGATAATGAACACTGGGATCCTAATATACATATATTCCTAATATAATTTGGGAACTGGAACTCAATGAAAATGGTTCTGTCTTCCCAGAACTGATGACACAGGCACAGGTTTCAATGACATAGAACAACCAGGGTATAAAAGCTTTATTTTCAACAGGGAATAACATGGCTTGTGTATGTGATAATGTCTATTATATATCTACCACTATCTATGTATATTTACAGGAGGAAGACATGGAAGATATCCGAGCCCAGGAAGCCAAACAAGCTGCCGATGTACTGTATAGCGGAAGAAACAGGGATGTTGAATCAAATCCTCGACCTCCACCAATGAGGTCTCTTGCTGACCAAAAGGAGCTCAAGTTTTCCTCAGTTCGTCGTCTATTCTGTTTAGTGACATTATTTGATTTGCTGTTCATATTTCTACTATGGATTTTACATGCTAGCGTAAGTTATATCATATTTAATGATTTCAGGTTAATTACTGTTACAGTGTTTGCTGTATTGGAAGCATATTTAAATAGATGGGCATATACCGCACACAAACCAAAGTTGCATTTATTAAAATATGACTTGTATTGACCATAGACATGTAATTTATGTTAATGTAAGGGCTATACTGAAATAATAACAGTTCAGTATAAATTAATTCTTTTGATAATAATGGTGAAATGTTCAACTTGTGCTTACCATATAAACGCAACAATATATATGTGGAGATGAAAACAGCTACTGTAAAATACTTCATTTTAGCTGGAATTAATTTTTGCTGAAAAGACTTTTTTGGTGTTTTATATTGAATTTATTTTCACTGATTTTTGACAAGTTGAATGTAAAATATAGGAAAAAAGGTATATTCGCTGGATTTTATTTTCACCGATTCATCCCTTCAGCGAAAATAGCGAATATTAATTCCAAGCAAAAATAAAGTATTTTACAGTATTTCATTATGGTTTAGACCCGCCTGTACATTCCTTGCAAAAATGTTCAAAACATCAGTATCTATTACTGCTTATTATTGCCTGTGTTCACATTTTGCTTGTCAAAATGAAACATCTTCGTGAATAAAGACTGGATTTTATTTGAAAAACGTGCTATTGTATGTAGGAATATGTGATACTGTACATTACTTTATTTTTGCTTGGAATTAATTTTCGCTTTTTTCGCTGAAGGAATGATTCAATGAAAATAAAATCTAGCGAATATATTTTTTTGCCTATATTTTACATTCAACTTGTAACAACTTGTCAAAAATCAGTGAAAATAAATTCCATACAAAAGATCCAAAAAGTCTTTTCAGCGAAAATTAATTCCAGCTAAAATAAAGTATTTGACAGTATATAATACCACAAATCTACTTGGCGTCATTCAAGCAACTTTCTGGCCAATAGCGTGACAGCAGCTCATCTCAAAATTCAACAAGCGACATCCTGATGTTGCCAGCCGTTAGTATCCATTCAGTCAGAAAATGTATTTTCCATAATTAATATGCGAGTCTTTGATTAAATATACTGCAAAAAGGAGGTGGTCGTCATTTTATTTTATTTGGCAATAATTAAAACACAACAAAATTTATATAGAACAGAAACACTGTACAGACCATCGCACGATGTCTGACCTTTGATTGTGGATAGGTGAATGTAATAACGACTTCTTGTCTTCTGCAGATTTCAACTCTCGGCTTACAACAAGAATTTCATTGTCAAGTCATCAATTACTCCTTTGATACATCGCTATTTGATATCGTTTTATTGTCGGCTGGGAGAGCAATACTTCTGTTATTGGCATATGCCTTATGTAAAGGCGATCATTGGTTTATGGTGGCAGTAAGTCAATATTTTAATATTCTTGAACTTCTTAATGATTAATTTTCGTGGCTCTGCTTTGTCAGTAAACTTGATAAATGAGAAACAAAACAGAGATCGTATTTTCTCTATCCGCGCATGCAGTTGCAGCAAATGCAATGTTTTTTTTGCTCTACTAATAGAGCAAATACTGTACATTCAAATAGTAACATTTTACTTTTATCCAAGTGAATCTACAGTGATTAGCTTGCACCTATTTCTCAGCAGTGTAGTACAGGCTGCTTGTTTATAATTGTTATACCCGCGGTACTTTTCTGGTTATTTTTATGTTCATGAAAAGGGCGATAGTCATCGTGCCTCGCATGTGTGAGTTTTATAGGTCTCGTATAAAGATGGTAACTTTGACTGTTGCGCAGATCCACAAGTACAAATTAAGATGTTATCAAGCTTTAATTAGCTATTTTAGGCGATTGGAAGATATCGAAGGAGTCACCGACAGTAATTAGTTCAAGTTGTGCCCAGGTCAAACCTACTTGTGATTTCCATGAGAAGAGCGCATTGAATTATGGGAAAATCATTGTTTATCAACGCATATGTGCAGCACGACGACCACCACCCTTTAGTTGACAAAATTTATTACATATAGGCTTGAATTCCGTATTTTGAATTGTTCATGTTTTACTAAAAATCAGTGTTTATAAATATTTGATTTTTGTGCATAATAAGTTTTTTTTTTTTCACGTTTCAGATAACAACTTTTATCACGTGTGCTTTTCTGATATGCAAAGTTATACTATTTAATTGGGTAAGTTTAAGTTTGAATAAAAATTGTGTTTCTGTCTGCATCGCTGTACCTTGCTATTTTCCGTCCTTCCCGAGCTCCCATGTTAAGCATGAAATTGAATATAAACACAGGATAAAGGTCATAGCGGGGTTGTGACATCAAAACATCCGGTGGAATTCAACAAATATTTTTAGGTATTTTACACTTAATAATATACTACTGTAGAATACTTTATTTTCGCTTGGAATTTATTTTCGCTATTTTCGCTGAAAGAATGATTCTGTGAAAATAAAATCCAGCGAATATACTTTTTTTTCTATATTTCACATTAAACTCATCAAAAATCAGTGAAAATAAATTCCATACAAAACGCCAAAAAAGCCTTTTCAGCGAAAATTAATTGCAGCGAAAATAAAGTATTCCACAGTATTTTGTTGAAGTAAGGATATCTCAAAGCAATATTCCACTTGAAAAATTGTTGTTTCAACATTGAGGTATAAAATCGGCAACTCTTCATGTAATAAATACATAAGATCTGGTGGAAAATCACCTTTTGTCACATTAAGGTGACACATTTTCATACATATAGTCAGATACTAATAATGTACTAGTAGTCAAATTTATGACATCATATGACAGCGCCATCATTGGTGAATGTTGAGATACCTTTTTAACCGAGATGTGGCTTGCCGAAAAAATCTTAATTTAATTTCAATTTTTGAAAATAACAGTTCTTGGAATTCTTTTTAACAAAACCAAATAAATGTATAATTTTTTTCAGAATCCTTCAAAAGATGAAGTTCCTATTGGATGTCATAGAAGTAGTGGTAGTGGTCACCCATTGGACTATATATTGTTTCTATGTTCATTTGCTATGGCTTGGTTCGAAACATGGTTACTTGACTGGAAAGTGTTGCCTAGGGAACGCAAACTCAAACATTGTAAGTGGCTGAACACATTAAAAGCTTACTCTTCTGCCCAGCACACTCAAAGTTTTCAGAGTGCGCCCTCTGGAGTTCCAAATACCACCCTCTGTCATTCCAAATACCGCCCTCTGGAGTTCCAATTACTCTCCTCTGTGGATTTTAAATTGGACCATCTAGAGTTGCATGTTGCAGTGTCATGTTTTGGGACAACAATCATATTTTTTTTTGTTCTTTTGAAGTACATGGCTTTCTGTTTATTTTAAATAGTTTACAATGGAAGAACTGGAGAACGTGCACCATTGATTGACCCAGAATATAGCAGACCACAATACACTCATTATCATAGACAGTATGATCAATCCGAGCAAGGATCTACTTTTTATTCACCGATCGGAACACCACACAGTGAGTGACATGAGTTTGAAAATATTAAAAAAAAATTAATAGCTGGTGAAAATTTGATATCATAATATTTACAACTATGTATAAATATATTATTTTATTACGTTATTTGTGTTACATGTGTACCGTAAATCAGCAAACGTATCATTTGCACAAAATACTGTACTGATGATGTCATTCCACATTGTCATGGTTACAGTTTTAAGAGATTAATATCTTGCTCTTCTTCCATCCTAATATGAGTATATAATTTGTTGCAGGTAGTGAAAGTGAAAATGAGTTTGTCAGTGATGAAGACGATCAGGGAATAAATAACAAGAAATCTTTTCATTCTTTGCCAGCAAGTCAGAGTGCCAGTCTCACTAATTTACTACATCTCTCACAGCAGGTAAATATTCAGTAGTTTTGGTGGTGGTTCTCAAATCAAATCATCTTAGATTGTGCATTAAAAGATGTGTGATAATCTCAATTTATGGGCTTTCCATGGTCATTACCGTAAATGTTTCAATACCAAAATAACAACATTGCAATGTAATTTGCTGACTGTTTTGCTGCATATGTCTCACGATCATTTCTGAGTGTATCTGTTTTGGTTACAAGGGGTTATTTCAATAAAGAACTTTTGTTGAGACTCCACCAATACAGTATTCTTTTCTGCTGTTTTACCAACCCTGGTTATTTGTTGTCTTTTGACCACATATTTTTTAAAAATTTTTTTGTTGGATTATTTCACTTTTTCATTTTCATTGTCTGTACTACATGGATAATTGTCTGTATATTTCTGTAAAGTTTAACTTGTGTACGAGGCAGAAAAAAAAGCAGAAATTTTCTATTTACAAGAAATTAAAAAAAAACAGGTGTCAGTTAGATGAAATGAGTACTGTATAGGCTGTTACACTTGTTTATGCTTTGTGCACATGGGTAGTGACTGTACTCCAAAATAAAATAGCAGCATTGTTCGCTGCTATTGTTATTAAATACTGTAAAAGTCTTTATTTTCACTTGAAAATAATTTTTGCTATTTTCGCTTTGGATGCAGTCTGGGAACTTTTGTTTTGACCTTTGTGCATTGTGTGTCCGTATGTCCAATCACAAACTTCGCACATACATAATATTATATATATGCACATCAATTTGTTTCACGATCTGATTCAAGATGGCCAAATGGTGGCCATTTTTATGCTAAAAAATCATCAAAATCAAGAATTTAATAATGGATTTTGTTTAAACTTGGTACATACGTTGGACATTATAGGACCTTGATGCACATCATTTTGTTTTACGATATGATTCAAGATGGCCGAATGGCGGCCATTTTTGTGCTAAAAAATCATAAAAAGCAACCATTTCTCGGCTGTTTACAGATGGATTTTGCTCAAACTTGGTATATACATGAGACATTATGGGACCTTGATGCAAATAATTTTGTTTTTCAGATAACATTCAAAATGGTCG